GCAAGGAACTAGAAAATGGGACATGGAAATACTGAAAGTAGTGAAGGTAATTCACTTACCAGGAAATGATATAAAAATAATCAACTCATTCAATGAAAACAGAATTCAGAATTAGGTCAGCAACACTGAAAACATAATTCAGAATTAGGTCAACAGCACAGACCTAGAAACCTCCTTCCTGTCTCCGGACTCCGCCCCACTTCAGTCAGTCAGCCCTGGCTACCTTTTCTCCAGCCTATTTAATGTTAGGCTAAGAAAAAACAACACTAAGATAAAAGGAGGCCCCTCCTCCTATGAGAGTGTCAAAGTGTGTAAACCCAGGTGGAAGTCTTTAAGAGTCATGGCTGTAAGATCCTAGAGCTGGAAGTGAACGTATGAGTACAGCTGAAAAGAACATAAACTCTCCACAAAGAACTTCTGTTTTGTACTACTTGACCAGCATCAGCCTTGGAAACTTCTTCATGGCTCCATCTCCAGAAAATCTCCAAGGGAGGGAGGGAAGGAGGCTGCAAAAGATAGCTCTCCCCATTCCCTTTCAAGACTCCAGGTGGGCTGGGGCCTGTAGATGTTTTAAATGACAGCTGCTGGGTGGGCCACGAAGGTCCCTGTTAAGACTGGCAAGAGCAAGAATGGCTCCTCTGCCCTTCTCCTCTGGATTGCAGGCTCCCCTTGACTCCTCTGTCTCCCCAGGTACCTGGAGCTTAGGTGATGTCCGCATCAGCTGCCATACATATGCTCCAAAGCTTCAGCCTTCCCCTACTCTGCACTCCAACTCTGTAATTCCTATTTGCTTAGTTCAGCCGGCAGTGCTGAACTAAGCAAGTATGATCTGATAACTCACAGTAAAGTGTGAATACTTGACAGGCCTTCTTCCCACCTCAACTCTGCACTCTCTCTCACTGTTAGGTCAATCTCCTAATCCCTGTATTTTAGGTAATATGGGCAAGGAACCTGGGGACAGGTTGGGGGTGAGAATTTTGTTTTACTGTTGCCCCATCCATCGCAGCCCTTGCTAGCCTTGGCAATGGCAAGGAAGCCACAGGGCAAAGACTTGGAATTATCGATGGGCAAGAGGACTGCACCCCTGCTCTGCTCACTCCCACTGCCACCCACGGGGGGAAGCCCAGACCACCTCATGCTGTTACCCCTCCGGGCTTCTAGTTTTAACAAAGAAATGAAGTTCTAACACGTGTCACGACATGGATGAACCTTGAGCACATTGGGCTCAATGAAAGAAGCCAGTTACAAAAGGACAAATACTGTATGATTCCATTCATATGAAGCACCTAGAATAAGCAAATTCACTGAAGCAGAAACTAGAATAGAGGGTACCAGGGGTTGGGGGGGGGTGGAAATGGGGAGTTTCTATTTGAAATGAAAAAATTCTATAAAACAGTGATATCTTGGAGATATTGCAGCTTTGGTTCCAGACCACCACAGTAATGCAATTCATAATCTTTTTGCTGATGGAGGGTCTTGCCTTCAATTAGTAAAAAATGCAACATCTGTGATGCACAATAAAGAGAAATGCAACAAAAACAAGATATGCCCATATAGGCCCTGTGAATGTATACCGACGTACAAATACACTGAAAACCCATCCGTTTTATGTTATGCATATTTAACCACAATTTAAAAACTTCCAACAACAACAACAAAAAGGCCCTGACCGGGGTGGCTCAGTTGGTTGGGAGTCAGCCTGCAAAGTGTAAGGCTGCCAGTTCAATTTGCAGTCAGGGCACATGCCTGGGTTGCAGGTTTGGTCCCCAGTCAGGACACATGCAGGAAGCAACTGATCGATGTTTCTCTCTCATATTGATGTTTCTCTTCCTCCTTCTCCCTCCCTTCCCCTTTCTCCAAAAACAAATAAATAAAATCTTATTTTAAAAGAAAAGAATTAGCCAAGGGAGACACCTCACATATACCTCCCACACCCCCACTTCACACATCCCTCACTGAAACCAGCTTTAGTCCTAGCACCTCGGTGTCTATCTTGCCTGGTTAGGGTTCCACCCAAGGAGGTCTGGCTCCCAGAGCAGACAGCATAGGGGCTCTGCTGTTCCTGATATTTGGTTTACAGAACAGAGCTGTGGAGGGTGTATAAGCATTATCTCCTCCTACCTTACATTTTACCTATTCTCTCAGAAAGTGGATCCCATTCTTGTTCCCCTTGCTCTTCTATGCTATCCCGGAGCCAAACTCCCCAGGGGTGATTAGTGGTGGCCTTGAATCCACATGCACTATTTTCAAGTAAGCCTTAATGTGACCCAGGTAAATCCATCTCCACCTTGAGTGGCCTCCACCAGACCGTTGGGAGCTGGGTGGATGCATCAAATTATTGAGCTAACTGCTGGGGGTGGAAACACGGCATTTTCCCTCTTTCCTTCTTTACCATGTGCTTAGTATCTTTGTAACACAATAGTTACCCATTCATTAGAAATTATTCACTAACTATTATGCATGCAACTGTATTGTACAGGATAATGGTTAAGAGCACATAACTGGAGACGAACTTCTACACACTAGCGCGTGACCCTAGGCAATCTCCTCAATACCCCATGCTTCTGTTTTTTTTATCCATAAAGTAAAGATAATACTCATAACTATCTCACAGAATTTGGATGAATGTGAGTGTGTTACACATAAAAGGTTTAGGAAAATACCTAACACATACGTTATATGAGTCAGTCTAACACCCTCGATCTTCATTGCTCAGGGCTGATGTGTGATATTTTTTTATTCTCAATGTTTGACACTTGCCCCACAAAAATCAAGCAATGGGGTGCCAAGAGGATGACTTTATTTTTTATTTTATAATTCTACAAGGGTGGGGCTTTTTTTTTTCAGTTTTTTAGTACATGCTCATCCAACCAAAGTTCTCTATCTACCTCATTAGAATCTCAAGATACTCTTTTTTAAAATTTGTCGAATCCAAAACTGTAAACAGAAGAGAAGAGAGATGAGGGGCAGCATTTGAAACTCTAGTCCAGCTATTCCTGTCTCCACCCTCTAGACTTCCCAATTATATGACCCACAAATTCCCTTTTTCGCATAGCCTAGTTGGAGTGGAGTTTCAGTCACTTGCAACTAGGAGAGTCTTGACTGATAATCTTGAAAACTATGTCATTAAAAACAATAGTGGAAATATTGATAGCCATTTGATCTCTCTCTTCCCTCCATGTTGTTTCTGACATACTTTCAATGAAAAATAATGAAATTAATGTTTAGCTAAATGACTGAGGAAATCACTGTACTCCTTAAATAAGTGAAGATTGTCTAAGCAACAACAACAAAACCAGAATTCACTATCTTGAATTCAAGCCAGCGTGTCCATAAAAGACCTCATAAAGCCTTAAAAGAACCAAGAGGTCCATGCCTGACAGGCACTTCTGCCAGCAGGGCCCTCCTTCTCAACCACGCTGCATAGGATGGGGGTCCGCGCTCCCTCTGTTCACACACAGGAATGCTGTCCACCAGCCGAGCCCTTGTCTTCCCTTAAAGACACTGGGCACTGCATCCTCAGGTGAGGTCTTCTGCCGGCCAGTAGCCTGAACTGGCACTGCTGAGGCTCCCATGGCACTCCTCTTAGCATTTAGGATTTTTTAAAAAGATTTTATGTATTTATCTTTGGAGGGGAAGGGAAGCAGAGAGGGAGAGAAATATCAGTGTATGGTTGCCTCTTGTGTGTCCCCTGCTGGGAACTGGCCTGCAACCCAGGCATGTGCCCTGACTGGGAATCAAACCCCAATTCTTTGGTTCACAGGCCCACACTCAATCCACTGAGCTACACCAGCCAGGGCAGCATTTATGATTTTATCATAGTCTTTGTCTGTCTGTTTTACTTGCTAGTCCTTAAAATGCTTGAAGGAAGAAACTGCTACATTCATTTCACCAATGGTAGCACCTGGCACAAGCTAGACACTCAGTACAGGGTTGATGAATCTTCCTCACACTTCCAGTCCAGAGGCCTCCACTTGTGGTCTCCTTGCAGACTTAACTAGCCGTGCACCCATCTGGCCAAGTTCCCTGGACTGAGACCCATCAGACCCCTGCCTTATTTTCCTTTTTCATCTAGACTCTGGGTCCTTTCCTCCCCTACTCTGCTTGCTGCTCCCAAGACTCAGTTCAGACATTATGAGTCATGACAAAATTATCAAGATATGCAAGTTCCCTTTGGGATCTGCTTAATTTTGATTTCACCATCACAGATGGGGAACTATGAAGTATAGAGAAGCTTTCAAGATGTAAAACAAGTTAGCATCCAAGAGCTACTAACTGTAATGAATGTACACTTGAAGCATGAACATAGAGATACACCTGCAGGTGCAAGACATGAAAATACATGCACACAGGCACATTCTCACACAGACATGTGTTCACATAAAGACATGCAAATGGTTACTGAAAATCTTACAAATTTAGAAACATGCTAAGAATCACTTTTTTTGTGATTCTTATAGAAAGGAGTTATACAATTGCACCAACACAATTATTTTCCTTCCAAAAGAGGTGAATGTTGCTAACATTTTATTTTTCCATGTAAAGCATACATTATATTCAACAATATATTTGTTTTATAAGGAAAACTCAGTTGAAAATGTCAGAGCATTCTGCAGGAGTTAAACACCTGTGTAGCAACACTATTAAATCAAACACCAGATCACTAATAAGTCTGGCCCCAATTATATGAGGGCAAATGGGACTCTTAGTTATCTGGGAAATGTTTACCTCATTTGTTTTCCTAACATCAAAAACAAACTAATTAGACTGGATTTAAAATCCCAAGTGATTTTTGGCCTCTCACTTTTATTCTAGGGTAAATACTAGCCAGGAAGTCAATGAAATATAAACATTTGACCATCATTTTTGCTTCAAAGCAACTCTGAGGTTGGGCAGCAGTACCTACATGAGTATTTTCTGGCTGTGGACAAAAGCTACTTATTTCTGATGCAGAACAAGCCATTATCAAGAACTTGACGGGAATCACCTACCTCCCCACTCTCATCTGATCCAGGCGATACAGTGCCCCAGACTTCACAGTGTAAGTTGGAGGTAATTTCTAGACATGACACCTACGTGCAAATATAAATTGAAAATTCATCAAAGTTAAGACTCAAGATTAGAGAATTTCAAACTTCAAAAAAGACTTAGCAGTCATTTAGTTCAACCCCATCATTTTATTAAAAGACATATCCAGAATGATTGTAAAATTTGCCCAAAGTCACACAGGTGGGCTAGACCAGATGCCAGGTCAAACATTTCCTTCCACTGTTCGTGTTTCCCTAAAGACTAGAGCACTTGCCTTAACAACCCACTCTTACTTATCCACACTTACGATAAGAACAGTTTGATGCCAGGTGTATATAAAATAATGTCATTAGGTTCATCTCGAAAGAAGAACAATGCTGTAGTTGTTTTAATCGGCTGTACAGCACTTCCTCCCTGCCACTTCCCCCCAAGAAAAAAACAAAATCTCAGTTAGTGAGAGCAAACTGCGACTCAATCTTTAACCTTAAGGCACTCCTGAAAACCTTTCTTTTTATTTTGAAGTAAAACAAAAATAGAATCATCATAACCTTTAGCATGGATAATGGTGGAAACATTCCAAAACATTTATATTGAATTTTTTCATAGTCTTAGGATATAAAAATCACCTAATATGTGTTTACCTAAGTAAATAAACCATATACCATTTTATGGTTATTTTAAATGTTTATAAACTATTAACTTTTGAAACTTGTTAACATCAATTTTGTACTGAATGTGTTGTGTTAAATTAAAGCAAAATTCTTACGGTCTAAAGCGCCCTCTAGCGTTCCTATGTAAAAACTTCTTTTCAGATAAAGAGTCATCCTTTCTTATAATGGCTAGGGTCCCTTTATGCCCCTGACAGTCCAGGTATGGGCCTATTGTCCAGCCATCCTGTTTGGTTTAACATTTGCCTTGACATTTTCACTTTAATGAAGAATTACTATTAATAGTCGCATTAAAAGACACTGGGCCCTGGCTGGTGTGGCTCAGTGGACTGAGCGGCAGCCTGCGAACCAAAGGATTGCTGGTTTGATCCCGTCAGGGCACATGCCATGGTTGCATATGAAAGAGAAACATCGATGAGAGAGAAAGTCATCAACTGGTTGTCTCCTGCACATGCCCCAACCAGGGATCAAATTCACAACCTAGATTTGTGCCTTGACCCAGAATTGAACCAAAAACATTCTGGTGTGTGTGACAATGCTCCAAGCAATTGAGCCACCCAGCCAGGAGTAAGATGTCTACCATTAAAATTAAGATATGGATGAATGGGAGTGGGAAGGGACACAAGCATCCAAAAAAATTTAATTAATTAAAATAAAATTAAGATATGAAGCAGAAATTTAATTGGAATTGGTTAAAGTGTAAATGAAAGTCATAATTTCACTCAAAGAAGTTATATTATATAACAATTAAAAGAGAAGTTGTATCTGTCACCCCAAATTTTAAAATTTTAAATATGCCAAATATTAAACTACACAATTTTTATATACAGGCTGATGTTGAATTTTAAAAAATTAAAATTAAAAACACACACACACTTCAGTAGGGCCACACTGGACTTCTCTCTTCGCTGCGCATCACTAATTGGAACTACTTAGTAAATCAATGTGTCCTATCAGTGGCACTGAACTTTTTGTAGATGAGTCCTCTAGATTTGGGTTGCATTTGTTCAGCAGCAGTTAGAAATTTTAATCAAAAATTCAAGGAGCACCAGAAACCTTCAGCCTTTGAAGCTTTTGGAGAATTACAATTATTGAAAATCAAAACTTACAAAAAGAAAGACCTGAAACACCCCGACTATAACAAGGAGTGGATAAATTAAATAATGAACACTCAAGTCTTGCCCAACATTTAGTACTGAAATTCTGTAAGTGCTGTTTAGAATATACAAATATGCTGTTTCTCTCTCACTTTTGGAGAGAAATGTTAGGAGCATTTTTGATTTTGTAGAATCCCAGTCGGGGAAACATCAAAAGAATCACATCTGGAGATAATTTATCTGATGAATTTTGTCCTCTAGAAATGTTTGTCAAGAAAAGATACTCTGAATGTAGGCAAAAAAAGAAAAACAGTATCAAGAATTATTTTTTAGCTGATTACTTACATATTTTAATACAAAAAATATTATAATTGAAAATGTTTTCTATTTAGCAGAATTCACTCAGTTTTCACTCAGTTCTTGTTGAGAAATTACTTTTCTCAAGTAAAAATATTATGGTTTACAGAAGAGAGTTAATTTAGGGTGTCAATTTCAACTTTATTAACAAAGAACAACTTCTAAAACAACTGTAGATATCATGAAAATTAAAAATAATATCCACATTAGGAAAAAAAGGCATTCTGCATAAAAATGACGGTGATGTAGTACTAGAGCCAGATATGACTAAAAAGCTGATTATGTAAATACTTAACAAAAATAATCATACTTAATTTTAATATTCAAATAAGACAATATAAAGTTTTCATTTTTTTATTTTGCTTTAATGTACATGAATTTTTAAAAGACTATCATTTCAAAAATGTTTAAATACAAATATCCTATAGACCTATCCATATAATAACATTAATTTTTCAGCATATCTACAGTTAAGATATATCAGCAAATATACAAATGTTTCAATTATATACCATATCAATTATATAATATGTATCATCTCAGTACCTTCTTTACTTTTTAAAAGTGCAACTGGTTTGGACAAACAACTACCATTTACCAAGAGTTTATTATCAGTTAGGCACTGTGCTCGAATTGCTTTATCAATTTAATCTTGATAAGTACACTGAAAGGTAGGAATTATTATCTTCATTTTATTTGATGACAGTAAGTAGCAGAGTAGAGATTTGCATCCAGTCACCATGTTCTGCTGCCTCTCTCCCTACATTATAGGACACACTACTGACCTACCACAGACAGAATGTGCTTCTAGCTAATGACCATGAATTTGGTTGCATCATGACGTCTGACCCTATCACCCACTTGGCCAAGGATAGCAGGCACATTTAGGGGCCAGACAACAGCTGCAAACCCAAGGAATTACCTGCCCTTAAAAGAACCTAGGAGTAAACTTCTTCCAGTTGATTTTTCTTGGGACTCTCTGTGCTTCCTGAACTTTTATGTCTATTTCCTTTACCAGGTAAGGGAGAGGCCTACATCAAGGCACATCATAATTAAAATGCCAAGGTTAAGGACAGAGAGAATCTTAAAAGTAGCAAGAAAAGCAGCTGGTTACCTACAAGGGAGCCCCCATAAGACTACCAGCTGATTTCTCAGCTGATAGAAAATTTCTATTTTCTCAGCAAATAGAAAGTTTGCAGGCCAGAAGGAATTGGCAAGAAATATTCCAAGTGATGATAAGCAAGGACCTACAACCAACATTACTTCACCCAGCAAACCTATTTAGTATTAAAAGATAGATAAAAAGCTTCCCAGAGAAGAAAAAGCTAAAGGAGTTCATCACCACCAAACCAGTATTATATAAAATGTTATAGGGTCTTCTTTAAGAAAAAGAAGGAAAAAAATTAAAAATGTGAACAATAAAATGGCAATAAATACCTATCAACAATGAATCTAAAAAACAAAATAAATAAACACAAACAGAAACAGACTCATAGATACAGAGAATACTGTGATGGTTGCCAGATGAGAGGGGATTGGTGGGATGAGGGAAAAAGGTGAAGCAATTAAGAAGTACAAATTGTAGTTACAGAACAGTCATGGAGATATAAAGTACAGCATACGGGATATAGTCAGTAATATTGGTGTAGATGGTATGAGATTTATCAGGATGATCACTTAGTAAGTTATATAATGTTTAATCACTGGAATGTACACCTGAACCTAATATAATATGTCAACTATAATTGAAAAATAAAATATGAATTTAAAAGAAAGAACCTAGGAAAGTTGTACTTCACCCATGTCTTTCAAGTCAGGGTTAACTTTTGCCTGTGCAGTCTCCAGTTCTGAAAAATCCTTTATTTTTCACCCAATGGCATCCTATACACCAGGGTGATCCACAGTGGAGCACTCTTACATAAACGTGAATTAAATGGCACAATAATGTGCCACAATGACTTGGAGTCAACAACAGATTGAATACATAATGGTGGTCCCATAGGACTATATTGAGCTAAAGAAATTCCTGTCACCTAATGACATTGTAACCGTGTAACATCATAGCGTTACCAGTTTACAGATAAATTTATAACAAAAAAAGAAAACAAACCAAGCAAACCACCGGGGACACATGTCTGAAAGGAGTGACACCTACTCAAGAAGAGCCACAGGTGGGTCCTTCAGGAGGTGTCCCAGAAGAAGGCATTGTCATCACAGGAGGTGACAGCTCCATGTGTGTTACTGTCCTGAAGACCTCCCAGTGGGACGAGACGTGGAGGCAGAAGGCAGTGACGCTGGCCATCCTCACCCTGTTAGCCCCAGGCTAACACGTGTGTTTGTGCCTTGGCTTTTTAACAATAAAATTCTTTAAAATGTCATTTAAAAAACAGATGAAAGCTTATAGACTAAAGATACAAAGAAAATATTTTTGTACAGCTGTAAAATGTGTTTGTGATTTATGCTATTATTACAAGAGTCAACATTTTTTTTAACTAAAAACTTCACTAAGTAGAAAAGTTGTAATAAGCCAAAGTTAATTTACTATTGAAGAAAAATATTTCTTTTACAGATTTACTGTCACCTAAGTGTACAACATGTACAAAGTCCACAGCAGTGCATGGTAGTGTCCGAGGCCTTCACTCACTCACTGCTGCCCCACTGACTCTCCCAGAGCAACTTCCAGTCCTGCAGACTTTATGCACAGTCAGTGCCCTATGCCGGCGTACCGTTTTGATTTTTTAGACCACGTTTTTAGTATACCTTTTCTATGTTTAGATACACAAATAGTTTTCACTGTTACAACTGCCTGCAGTACTCAGTGCAGGAGCATGCTGTATAGATTTGTGGCCTGGGTGCACCAGGCTGTACCACACAGCCTGTGTGCCTGGTGGGCTATACCATCCCATCCAGGTTTGTGTGAGA